GGCCGGCAAACAGCCTCACCTGATAAAGGTGCCGGCCAGCTGCTCAGACTACACTCATTAGATGCAGGTCTCCAAATGGAGGTGAGTTTTTGTGGTGGAAAGCTCAGCAAACAGGAGGGTTATAAAGACTAAGCGTGGTTTGTAATGTCCCCCTGAGCGCCCACTGCACCGCCCAGTCCAAATACAGCAAGCTGATAAGAGTTTGAAATTGCTCTCTCAGTACTGGGGCGTTGAGGAACCACATACCTGAGATATCTAAATGCTGTGTTTCCAAAACGTGTTTCCATTTACCTTGCACAGGTGAAATATTTAGGATTTTTGCAATTTATCCAGAATTAAAGACAAGATGTTGATAATTGGAGCACATGCTGGTAGGAAGTTCAAGCCGTCAGGATTGGTGCTGCCAGTGATGTGGAAGCGTGGGAAATTAGGCATGTAAAAGCGGTGACTGCAAACCGCATTTCAGGCTAGAGCGGTCAGAGAGCAGGGGAAAAGGGAAGAGGTGTAATTACGGCATACACTCCCGTCCACGACAGGGGAGCCGAAGGAGCATGATGGCTTTGATTAACAGTGAGGATCATTAGACTCTGGACTCAGAAGTGACTTTGCATTGAGAGTAAGGAAAGCGTGAAAATATTAAGAAAGAAAGTGGAAAAAAAAAACATATATAATAATAAATACATTAATACATATATTATCTAATCAAGAAAGAAAGAAAGAAATGACAAAGAAAGGGAAAGGCGGTTTCATCAATCATGCCGTGCTCAGGCTGGGATCACGGGTGACTGATTGGTCAAGCTGTTCAAAGGAAATAGGAATTCTGAGGAGTATCCACACGTTGACTCGCTTCACTGATTGAGATGTGCAACAAACCTGGCCGAACAAAAGACAGCGAAGCAGGTTGGGTTTGTGCACAGCTTGAAACCACGTTGACTGAAAAACTCTACATCAGTCATATTCAGCCCACTCTGGAAATCTTACACTGATCGCAGAAATGCTGATATAAATGTTGTTTAGCCTGGTGACCATTGCCTGAAAGCAATATTTTGAGTTACATCAAACATACATTAACATTAAACTTTACTGAGAGCATCTGTGACACATCTCGATTATCAGAATATAATTTTGCCTTATTTCGTAAATGTAAAAATGTGCAATCCACTGACTCTCACTAGTATACTGAGACCGACTGTGGATTAAATTTAAACATGCGCAAATTTTAGATTTAGTAGGGTCTGCCCTAGTGGAAAATAAATATATGAAAATGTATTTGAAATTCATTTATTTCATGCTAAGTACACTACAAATACATCTACATATTTATGTACTTAATAAAAATACCCTGCAAATGTACTTTTGGTATACTAAACTGGTATACTTAAAGTCTGCTGAATTGGAACAAGTAATGGTAACACTTTATTTTAAGGTATCCTTGTTGCACGTTACACGTATTTACTACAATAATAACAATACATAATTACATGCAAGTAGCCCTAATCCTAACCCTAATCATATAGTAAGTACATGTAGTTAGTTAATATTACTCCGAACTTAAATGTATAATTACACTGTAACAAGGACACCTTAAAATAAAGTGTAACCCACCTAATTTTGTACTTGACACACTTTAATTGTGAGGAAGTAGTGCTGAAATCCAACTAAAGACATACTTAAGTGTATTTGATTGTGCTAACGTTGAAGTATGCTTTAGGCACACTTAATATATCTTGCATTTAAAGACTTATATTATTCAAAGATCATACAATCCTCATCAATAGTGACATTTATGCATGTTGGTGAATGTTGTGGATGACTGACCTGTTTGCTGGAGGACATTGAGCTCAGCGTATTGAGGCTGTTGGCGTCTGTCACCACCATGGCAGGGGGAAACAGAGACGAGTGAGAATACTGGGGTGGCTCCTGCTTGTGTGGGTACACTGTGAAGATAACAAACAGACGGTCATTTGAAAGTCTTGAAAATGAATTGATCTTGACTAGATGAGTAGATAGTGGCCAGAGGAAGTGGACGGACTGTGTGAGTGTGAGACAGAGGCCATGAAGGGCTGCTGGCTCATGTGGCCGGGTGACTGTTGCATGAGCTGCTGGTGCGAGACATTCAGCTGCTGCGAGAACTGCACCGGCTGCAATGCTGCCAGACTGCCTGCAACGCTGTTGATGACAGGTACCGTCTGCGCCTGCGATGTGTTCAAACCTGGATGCGAGAACAATGACGTGTCACGTGAAGAATGCATAAAGAATCTGAAATGGAAAGCAAGGTGGTTGGACACTCACTTTGTGCAATGGCCATGACTCCAGAAAGGGGCATTATGAGGTTGGGGGTCTGTTGGTGCATGTGGTGGGATGCATGGATGTTGGTCAGGGTGCTGACTGGAGGAAGACCTCCGCCTGATACCGAGATCTGTGAAGAAAATGCACCAACAGAATGACTCGAATGCTTCTGTCACAACTGTTTCAACTGTACTCTTATCAGCAAGATGATGGCATGGCCAAATGAAATACACCTTTATTTGTGACAGCCTCTTTCCCTGAGTGATGCACCAAACAAAAAGCCCAATGACTAGCAAATCAGCAAAAAATAACAGAAATGTCTTATAACAAATCAATTGATCCCTCCATTGTCTTTCAATGTGCAGGAGAACTCTGCAGACACAACTTTGTCCCCGTTTGCACACTTACGGCATTGCCAGTTCTCAACAGTGTCTTGTAAACACCAGCGCAGGACAATAAAGCACTCCATTGGGCCTACAATCTGCTCAGCACACAATGGGCCAGCAACCATAAACAGTCATTACTTTACTACCGACACCTTGTAAGTCCCTCGACTAGGAGCACAGAAGAGAAGACCGACCCCATCTCGTTCCTCCCTCTTCCTATCCAAATGAACACCCAACCTGAGGTCACTGACTGGTCAGGTGTGCAGAGGGAAACACCACACGCAAACAGACAAGCCACTCATTGCCATGCCACAGGCCCAGAAACAAGCAACTCACCCACGGCAGAAGCACTCGGACTCAAACATAAAAGAGCAACAATAGGTAATAAGCTGGTTGAGTCAAAGAGTGTGTTGCTTTTATTGCCCAAGTCTTGCCATATCAAACTAAGTCAATAAATCTTTCTGGGAATACAATTCATCAGATAACAGAGGAGTGGGGCCTGCAGTAAACCGCAGTGACTCTACAGGTAAAACTAGGCCTCGAGAGTGAGCTGAGCCGCATGACCCAAGGATGACCCTGAGTCCCATCCAAGGGTGGCTGCTCTTTGTGTCTCACTCTTGCCTGCTGACTTCAGTAGAGCTGAGATTGCAGGTACAATGCAGATTGTTCTTGGTGTGTGTTTCAAAGCTGGGAATAACAATGCCATTTGCTCAGCTCACTCTGTCACTCTCATTGATCACTGCCGCTTTCCCTCTGATCTCATCAACTACGTCATCTCTTCTTCAACTGCTGGAATGATGATGATCAAGATTGTCCTAATTATCATTGCCAGACTATACCGTCAAAACGGCCAATGATTGTATTTTCAAACCTTTAGCCAGATTCACAGGCTAATAGGAATATCAAATAATATACGTGAGATTACAATGAATGTGTCAGTACCTTGCATCTTACTTGGTGGGGAGTTGCTGGTTTGTGGGTGATGTGGGGAACTGTGTGTAAGAAGGGAGTTCAGATTGTGTGTTGGCCCACTATAGGCATCCATAGCCAGTTTTTGTCTAAAGGCCTCTTCCTTTCTCCTGTTGGCAAACCAGTTGTAGACTCGCACCTCCGTGACCAGGTTGGAGCCAAGCCCGTGAGCTTTAGAAGGTGATACTCCTCTCTGGAGGCATTCAGCTCTAAATATTGTCAAGAGAAACATATTAGCAAAACTGGGATGAAAGTGAGGAAGTAGTTTTGACATTCATAGCAAGTCCATCCATACCGGTTGCACTCCTCCACCAGTGCCTCCCTCTCCTCTTTGCTGGGGTTCTTCTGTCGTTCATAAGCCTGGTAAAGGATCTGTTGGGACGCAGGCCCCCATTTGAAGCGGTTGCGTCTCAATTTCTTGCATGCAGGTTCAATTCCAGCATCGTCCCCTGTCTGCCCCATGCCCTGCCCAGACTGACTGAACTCGGAGAAAAAAAGTAGCACCTGATCCTGGTTGGCTTTATCGGACATGTTGCTGACAGAGCCTTGCGAGGCCTGGTTGAATTCTGAAACACAAAAGTGAGGGATTTTGGTGTCACTTGCAAAATTTTCATATAAACATTCAGGGTGTGATGTTACACCACATGTGTGATAACCTTTGACCCTTGGTCATAATTTTATATGACTGCACTCTTTATATGTCATTGTGCTTTTTATGACAACATAAATACAAAATGGGTGACAAAGGTGATGCAATAAGATAAAAAAATAAAAATAAAAATATAGTCGGTATATCTCTAGAAATCTAAAATTGCATCATTTTGTAAAAAAAAGAATGGATTTTTTTTTATTCTACCGGAAAGTGTTGCTTGATACTGTTCAGTTTCATTCAATTGAACCAGGAAGTTTAATATTATTCAAACTGTAAAATAGAAAACTGTCACATGCAGCAAGAAACACAAATATTAACTTACGTCGCAAGACCTCCCGCTGTTTCCTGACGTACCAGGTGTAGAGCGCCGCGCGTTTCTGCGTTTTCATAGGCGTGCCTTTATTCAGGTGCTGCGACAGGTGCGACTGATTGAGGCCTGTCACATCCACCACCTCGCGCTGAGGGATATTGTGCTGCTGCATGTAGCCTTTGATCATGCGGGCCGCGCGCCACGGGTCCACCCTGAAAAGACCGGAAACATAAAACATAACACTCTCATTTTATATGATCTTATTAGCCTGCTTTTAATTGTTGGTTTCGCCTATTTTACATTTATGATAGCGTATTTATAATCTGTTTAACATGTTAAATTCTGTAAGTGCGGTCAATTGTTCCCAGCGCTAATAAACAATCGTTTATCAGTGTATTCAATAGGTTGTAAATAATTCCAAAGGTTAAAGACTTCATTGCGTGCGCGCAATTCAACTACTGATTTAATTACAAAAGGACACGTTAGAGACAAGTGAAGGACTTAACGGCAGCTGTATATTGTTCACCAAGAACATTATAAAGCCATTTCAAAACAAAATACTCGATCCTAAAATGTAGTTCAACATGGTTTATTTAAACGTTGCTTTAGAGAGGAGAAAATGCTGCATCAGTCGAAAAGGGTTGGTTTAAATTAGACAACGAATTTGATATGACTTTTAAAAGTCTTATCTAGGCTAAATGTAGCTTAATTAAAATGTAAATACGGTATTATGATATTAGCTTCAAAATAATATGTTTTACTCATCAATACAAAGGGGCTGGATACTACGAATTTTATTCATAATACTTCATGAATAAAAAATGCCGTTCACATTTATCTAGTGAATTTGAAGTTAATAAAAAAGAAAAAAGGCTATCTTTCTATCTATCGATCTATCTATAAGAAACAAAGACAGAAAAAGAAAGAATTACTCGGAAACATCTGAGTGTGTATGGTTAAGGTTGGTATTAATTCAACAAAAATAATTATCTATTAGCCTACCAATTATATTACGGATAATAGCTTATTATATAAAGCGGTGTAATGTTTATTAGGTTATTAGTTAAGTAAAAATCAGACTCACTATGTAGGTAGCCTAATAAAACGAAGAAAAGCGAGCAAAGCATTGTCGAAAAGCGGCTATTGAGGTAGGCTACATTAAAACGAAATTAGGTCTTACCATTTTTTTAGCTTAGGCTAAACTTCTGCTCCTGAAATCGGTCCAGACGGTTTGATTTGGAGACTGACAAGACATATGTCTGTGAGCGAACTTGGTTTATAACTTTCGACAATGAATAACTGATTTCCATTCACGCTAATCATTCGTCACTGTGTGTCTTTCAGTTGATGATTTATAGGATAAAATTAATAACTCAACTCCACGTGCTTTAGTTTTGATTTTCATCTTTATTTCGTGACGTTGATACTGCTGTAAAGATTATAGAAATATGCTTAAGTATAAAAAGAGTAATATTATGCAATTAGATTTTCATTTATAGTCGGTGTGATATTTTTGCAACTATTGTTTTTAAATAAACTACATTAAAATAACTATAGTGACAAATAATAGTAATAATGAACGTTCAAAAATTATCACGAATATTTTTACGTGGCCTAAAATAAATGTAATTAGCTAGCCTATTCTAAATAATCAGACACTGAAATCAGACAACAGTGCGCGTGTTTTTATTTTCTTTCGAGAGTGCAGAGGTGGTTAATAATAAATAGATCTTCTTTAGTTGATATATCTCTAAGCTAAAGAAATAACTCGTAGATAATTAGTAACCAGAATGTGAAAAGAGGAAACATTGGCGCGTGCTTTTACATTTGTAAACACCGGTAGGCCTAAGTAGATTTCTCTTTTCAGAAAAATCATCACTGAATTTCAGGCCAATGTTACGCTGTTCAAATGTTTTCTTCGGTATATTATAACTACATATTTGATTCCATCTATTTAACCTGTCACAATAATTTCTACTAAATGTTATGGGTTTTCAAAACTTCAGTCAGTAGGCTAAAAGTGGTATTTTAAAAAGAGGTTTGATTTTCGGAGGCAATTAAACATTTCTATTTTAGTGGATTATTTTTTACAGTATAGCGCGAATTAGTTTTTAGCTATAGGCTATTAGCACATTTTTAGTGAATGTGGATTTTCTCATGATATTAATAAACCTTCTGTAGGCCTATTTAATCCTAATGACAAAAGTAGCTGCTTGTCAAACGGCATAAACGTCACAGTAACAGCCGGCCCTTAACTGCATTACAGTACAATGTCAGTTCAGCTACTCCTTACTTGTTTTTTTTGTTCACATGTATCTCTTTAATTTGTATATAAAGCAAGCGATAATAGCAGAAGCAGAAACTTACGCCAAAATTCGCTCGATTTCTGCCCTCTGTTCCGCTGCTTCCTCTGTATTTTGAGACTGCAGCTCTTTCAGTATCGGCGGTGTATCGTAATCATCCCCGTCCTCTGAGCCCTCATCCCCTGATAACTTCCCTTTACCGTGTCCATTGGTCAGCGTGTGAAACACCGGCTTTGTATCCGTATCACTGAGTTTGGAGCCGGAGGGGGACATCTGCAGACTGTCCAGTTTAACTCCAAAAGCGCTCGGGCTCGGGTCCAGGTCTTCCAACGCTTGCAGAAGCACATCTTTAGTAACTCCAGAGTCCAACAAGGCGCTCAGAAGCTCCTGTTGCAGAGATGTCAACTTAGAAACCATTTTTGCAATCATCTAAAAGTTTAGTACGCTAGGAGGTATAAAGAGGGAAGTGCAGTAGCCTATGTGAAATTTCCCCTCCTCACGCCTCCAGTGAGCTCCTCCGAAGACACCTGCTCCGAGAAGTTAGGCCACTTCCCTGTCGGACTGAACGATATAACTTGCCATGATGCTTCCAGAGGGCAGGCGATATAAAATATGGTAACGAGTGGGAGGCTGCTCAGGGCCTTTATGCAAATGAGCTGTCCTGGGCCATATTGCCTGTTTACACACTGCCTGTTATCAGCACAACTCTGAAGAACTTTGGACTCTGTCGACTTTGGTTAATGCGCGCTATAATAATAATAATAATAATAATAATAACAACAAGTTTAGAACTATAAGAATATTCACCTATTTACAGAGTTGGGGAAAGTTACTTTTAAAAGTAAGGCATTACAATATTGCGTTACTCCATTAAAAAGTAACTAATTACGTTACGTTACTTTTAAAAATCTGGACAGGGCTTGCTTGTTTGTTTTTAAAAAAAAAAAGTTCTATTTTTGGCAAATATAAAAGCCTTTTCACACCAAAAGTGAAATGAATAAGGCTCAGGCTGAAGGAAATGTAAATTCACGTCTGTACAGTAGAGGGCGCCGCTCAAACTAA